ACTCGCCAAATGCGAGCAGGCGAGTGGAAATTTTGATCCCTGTATACAGTGTATATATATGTATATATGTACATTGCACAATTGGTGGCTGACTAAATACTTTTTTGCCCCACTGTACACACACTATCATACAAATCTACATATCTGACAGGTGTACTATAGACATGAATCATTAGTCCAGTGCACTAGTTTATTTAATTATTGCTAGAATATTGTATGTTTTTTGTTTTTTCCATGCTTATCTGCACTAGTATGTATGTAGCCACTTCACCTTTCCTTAAATTGGTTGAGGCGACAAACATTTTATCTTTGTCCACATAAATAGGCACACCAGAACATAACAATTGTCGTGTGCAAGATTTCCTTCTTGTGTAGCAGATGACCCCTACCAAATTTAAACTAGAGGGCTATATGAGGTGTACTGATATGCATTTATGCCTTTAAATCAGAACTATTGGGTAGTAAAATGTACTCTTCCCAATAGTTTGAACCGGCATGTGACACTGCAGCTGTGGCTCTATTGATCCAGAACTGAGCGTTCACTAACCGCTGATTGCTCAGCTCACAGCTTCTCTCTGCAGAGAGCAGTGACTGTCAGTCACCGCTCCCCGCAGGGATTCCCCTCTCTCTGTTTCTCCAGCACTCATTGGAGGGACAGACAGGGGAGGGGGTGGGCACAGCTGGCTCTGGCAAGGCAGAGACAGCTGTCAATCAGGCAGCATGTTGGATCCCGACAATATTGTCAGGATCTTTTCCAGCTACAGCACGGCTTTATGCTGTCAGCATATACTGGGCAGTAGCCCACTATGTGCTGACCTTGGGTCACAGGGGGACGTTAGTAAATGTATGCCTGTGACCCAAAAGAGAACTAATGCTAAAAAAAAAGGTTTGGCTTTAGTTCTCTTTTAATGTATGTTTTCCTTTATTTTTAATCTACACAGTGAAAAAAAAAAATAGAATAACATTTTGGGCCAAATGTTTTCAGTTTTCTAATCATTTTGGGATTTTTACAATAATAATTTAAAAATACCAATAGGGTTAGCCTAATACTTTTTTTCCCCCAAAATTGTATGATACTATTAGTGTTTATTATTATTATTATTATTACTATTATTATTACCATTTTTATCCAAAGTATTTTTCAGAGAGATAATGTGGTTTTGTATTGCATTAAGACTTTCCTGCATAATTATACAGTGCCATCTTGTGGTATGCCTTGTTAAAATCTCTAATGTGCCCAGTTCACTGATAAAAATTGAGAATCTCATTTGTTTGCCGGTACCATGAAAGTAGGTAAAATAAATATTGCATATGTATTCAGTATATGTGAAATATATATCTAGAGAATGTCCCATAATCAGTTGGAAATAATGACAGTCTTTAAATCACCCTTTACACCAAAGACAGCATTTTTGTTAGTTTATCAAGAGATCCAGGCTAATGGCATGAACGTATTCTCAACGACCAGTTCATAGTCACCACAGTGTCATTCGTTCTGCTGCAAATCATGGTGTATTGAGTCTTAATTTAAGAGCAAGCAAGGTAACGCAGATTTCAGACTGGTATTAATGGGTAGCTTGATGATTAATGGGTTGGAAATTGCGTATCTCTGTACTTGTTCTTGGCTGGTTACTTGGTAAACAAAGCAACAGCATTAGTGCCAAAAAACTAACATTTTTGGAAGGAGGTCAGCAATGGCAGCTTACATATTTATTTTATGACTGGTATAATTATTAGAATGGTTCTCCTTTGCTCTGGACATATAATATGGGAACACACCAGCTTTCTTAGCAGTGCTGCTTTCTGAAAGCATTGGACTTGATCATAAGTTGGGCCCCCTGCTTTAGATCTCTATGCTATACCACTTTATAGTATACCACTTTATGCTATGAGCGCTTACATACTGGGCGATTAACAGCTTCCAGCGTGTATACAGCCAGAAACGATAACCCTGGACAAATGTTCTCTCTATATGAGCCTGGTCAGTGGCACTGATTGCATGTGACCACTCATGAGTGATTACATGTGTTCAGCACTGGCTATTGATTTGCACCCAGATTAGACTGCATACTATTATTTGTTTTTTCAGTGCCTGTTCACACGACGTCCGTTTTCTGTGCTGACCTGATCCGTACGCTCCTGCACTAAAAATGCATCCCAATGTATCCCTATGTGTTTTATGGGCTACAGTTCTCACGTGCGCAGTCCATTCAGGTTACGACAGAAAAAATACTGCATGTCACATTTTGTCCGGTCAGGAAACGCAAAACGCATCAAAAACGCACTGCACTGCAGCCTGCAGCTAACATACTGACAGCCCCACTCCAGCAAAAAATAAATATTTTTTTTAAACTGGAACGTGGCCAAAACGCGGCAAAAAAGCACTGCATCAGTAGCACCGCGTCTGCAGATCCGGACCTGATATCATGTGAACAGGCCCTAAAGGTTTTATAAACACCTATTATTATTTTCTTTCTGGGTCTGGATGTGATGAAAGCCATTGGTACGTAAGTATTGTGTGCATATTTCATAAGTATGCTGTTGGCGCTGCACCTGCCTCTTTCATATGAGGATCTCCTTGAGCTGCAGTTCAAAGAACACCGTCACTGGCCCAAGTCACTCTTTTTCTGGTAGGCTGGACATGTAGGTTGTTACTTCCCCCCAGATTAGGGGGCCTTGCCAGTGTTTCAGGGGAAAAGAAGCTTGCCACAAAATGTTCTTAGTAAAAAAAATAACAATGACTTCAAAAATGTAGCACATAATGAAACATATACCCCTCAAGGTGACCCTGCCTGTAATAAAAATGAAATATACATTTTCATTTTGTGGCACACCCCAGTGCCTTTAGGACTTGGGTATCCTATCCATGAAAAGCATGCCATACTGAGATGTCTAAGCTCTCCAGAGCTAGAATGCTCTGGGGTTGCCAAAATCTGGAAACGGAAAAATAAATAACAGAGTTTGGGAATATTGTCCTTGACTGGCAGGCTAAAACCGTCAGTCCTATCATATTTGAATGGGCACTCCATGCAAAAAGGAAAGTAAAGGTAAATGTTTCAATTTGCTTAAAATATATAACAATGCCTTTTGCATTAAAATCATAGGCATGATTCCAGTCGGCATAGGTCTTGTCCATCTGGCTTTGCTGTGGACACTGTATACCCTGCTGCTCACATTTCTCATAGCCTCTTGATAACATGGAGTATAGCTCATGCATCAAGAACAAACATTTGTATTGTGGATACACTGACCCATCCCTCATTATGCAACTGATTTTAGGGCAGCAGCAGAGTAAATCACTGTCCTTTCTGATCTTCTAGCACTTTATTCAGATCTGCCAGCCCTGGTAATCTGACAGATAATGGCAGCTGGTTAGATATGGGTCTGCAGGATAATAATGGTGCTCACTCTGCTGTGGACACTGCACAAGTGCAGAAGTTTGTCCCAGGATACCTCTGCTGGTCACCCTGCAGGGAGTGTGACGCCTAGATTGGGTTAGAATCTTCACGAAGACTGCAACACTGGAGCACTTCCCAAATTGAATCCCCAATGTATGCATTAGACATGTGCGATTCGTTTCGTTCCGAATCGAAATTCGGAGGAATTTTTGGAAATTCGGACATTCGGATGTATCCGAATTCCGAATTACAGATATAAGGAATTCAAACGAATCCGAATTTCCGTTTCCAAAATTCGGTAGCGGTAGTTCGTTTCGTATTCGTTTCTTATTCGTTTCTTATTCGTTTAGTTGGAGCAAAGTGAAATTAGAGGAGAAAAAAAAAATTCCCCCTCAAATGTCACTTTGCTGCAAACGAACGAACGGATGAACGAAACGAATAAGAACCTAAAACGAAACGAACTTTCGAACGAACTACCGCTCCCGAATTTTGTCCGAATTGACTTTCACACCCGAATCCCGAAAAATGAAATAACACATCCGAATTTAAAACGAAACTAAACACATTTTTTGGCAGTGCACATGTCTAGTATGCATTAAGTGCACAGCAGGCCCCCTACCCCTTGGGGCCTGTGTGCACTGCAAGCTCAGCACACATTAGGGACACACTAGTGTTTTCTTGGGGAGTTGCAATAGTAAGACTTTGTAGAATAGCGATGAGTTTATGGTTTTACAATGCACTTTGTGACCTTTTTCATTTATGTACAACAGCATTTAGGTAATAGGGTGGACATATACTAACCAATTTCTCACAAACTCTTGCAAAAAAATCTTGCCATGGGTACATGTTTTTATTGTTTGTATTTATTTGTTCTGTGTTCCCTAGCTTATGGAAGAGAAGGTGTAAAGACGAATTTTATTGATAGAGTGTTTGTCGGCGAATTAACCAGCACAGTCATGTGTGAGGAATGTGAACATGTAAGTATATCTTATTAGTGTCTATGTGAAAAGTAACTGTGGCTTAACAGCTGGGTATGTGTGGAATCCCCTATGAAACAATGGAATGTCATCTTAATTTTCTCTACATGTGGGGCTGCTTCAATGCACGAGTGAAAAGCAAGGATAACCAGCATAATGTAGTAACCCACAGCATGCAGATTTGAACTTACTGTTGTTAGAACAGTGAAATATGAATTATGCCTACCACAATACTGCATTATGCTTTGGTTTAGAAGCCTGATAGACTTTGTCAAATGCAATTTCATCCTTTGATTGTGTGTTAGGCTGAATTACAGACCTGCAAATATATTTAACACTGTGCCTGTTTTATGAAACTGGTACAAGGGAAGATGGAGCCGTTACCTATAGCATACATTCAAATGTCTTGATTTGTTTCCCCAATGCAGAATGAATAATGCAACCTGAGTGGTTGCTCTTTGCATTACTTTATTGTAAAGAATATGCTGATTGATGTATGTGAATAATTACATTCTTTTCCTCTGTCTCAAACTATGCTGCATATGGCATTCAAAGTGCTCGCATTGCTTTAAAATATCAGCGATTAGGCTTCCGCCAGAGGTCTATGGTTGCTCTAGTGGCACACCCCATCCCAGAAACATTGAAGTAAAACTGAGTCAAACCTTATTTTTTAGTTTTGGATAGAGTGGAGAGGAATTAGAAGACCTATCAGGTTTTTATTGCTGCCTGTGTCCCCATTAGGAAGAGTCACCCTTTCTATTTGTTTTGATGACTGTTATCACTGAATGTGAAAGAAAAAGAATATCCCATAATTTGGGTTGCCTTTAGAACAGGAATAGGGGGCAAATCTTCCAATGAGGACACCAGTTCTGGTGACCCTGCTGACCACCAGGGATTTCCTTTCACTTCCTGTTGTAGCTATCAGACAGGAAGTGAAGGGAAATCTCCTCAATGTGACACAGATGGCAAAAAAGAAGCTGACAAGAGTTATAACCCTCCCCTACTCTATCCAAAACTTGTTCTACTCTAAGTGTGTGTCAGAGCAGACCGTTCAGTAGGGTAGATTCTAAAAGGCCCTAACAGATACTCCTGGAGCACCATAGTAGTAGAAGAAATGTTTGTTAGGTATTTTACAGTTATTTTAAAATTGTAGTGGAAAGGGGACTGCTAACTGCTAAAAAGAGGGTCTGTAGGAATAGGTGAAAGGAATAGCTTCTTAAGTAACTGTAATACTATTCAAAATGCTTGGGCTGCTGTCACACTATTGTGCTGTGGTCACATTACATGGATTGGTACAGAACTGTGCCATTCATTATGAATGGCACCCTAACACACCTTGCTGACAGACTAACGTGCGGTGCGGTGCAGTGCATGCATCTTTTTTGGTGAGTTAGGCAGCCTATTCTGGGTTGCCTTAAGGTGACACACGTTGACTAATGCACCGCAGTGATGTGAATGGACCCTAGAATTCTGCATTCTCTTGACTAGCAAAGTAACTTTTCTTTTAAACCTTTCAGGGTTCTATGTATCTTTCTTAAAGTGATATTATGGGCAAAGTCCCTCCCCCCCTCCCCACAGTGCTAATGTAAGGACTTACCTTAAATGATGCCTCTTAATCCGATCATCTCCTGATTTTCTGTAGTTTTTAGCTGTCCCTCCAGCGGTGGTGCGGGTCTCCGAACCAGCGCTGACTTCTCTGTCCTCCTCTTCGCTCATGTCCCACGGTGTCTGTGCAAGTGCACGCTGCTCCATAGACTTACCTTGTGTCTCTCCTCGTCTCCCGGCCGAACATCTGAACATGAGCCTGCCCCAAGATCTTTTGCGGCCACCCGAGAAATTTTAAGAATGTTCGGACGGGAGCACGTGGCGGAGACGCAGGTAAGTATTAACCCTTTGAAAAAGATTTTTTTTTATTGTTTTGCATATATCCACTGCTTGCTAGCACTATAACACTAAACTGATGAGCGGTAAAAGCTTTTAAAGTGTCGCCTATGGCCAATTTTGGGTATGGTAGTTTTCTGCGATTTCGCGGGTGCGTGCAATTTTAAAGGTTGACATGTTTGGTGTCTATTTACCCGACGTGACCCGATCTTTTATATTAAAAACCCTAAACACCTAGGTAAACCCAGTGTTTACCTAAACACTGGGTAATAATAAATGTTTCCTAGCATAATGTAAAAAAACCCTTTTTTTTTTCAAAATGTTCTTTAATTTTTCCTAATTATAGTAAAAAATAAAACCCCAGTGGTGAATAAATACCACCAAAATAAAGCTCTATCTGCCCCCAAAAAATGTTATAAAATTCATTTCAGTACAGCGTTGCATGACGGAATAAACTTCAGTCAAAGTACTGCAGCGCTGAATACTGAAAAATGGCCTGGCCAGGAAGGGGGTGTAAACACCTGGTCAGCAAGTGGTTAAACTAAAGTCAGGTATTCATATCTGAACCTGCATTTTTCAGATGTCATCTAGTGATTTATATGCATGACAAAATTATTTTGACAGTTGTTTAACGACACTAAATGTGTTTTGTTCTTTGTTCTAGATTTCCTCTGTGAAGGAAGCTTTTATTGATCTTTCGTTGCCAATTATAGAAGGGAGGGTATGTAGGATAACTTTTCATTTATTGTGCATAACACCGGCAGGGAACTATACATAATATATAACCTACTGCTAGATAATGTTCCCTGACTGACTCAGAATATTGTATTGTTATCTGGAAAACTCAGGGTATTTTTAAGTAGGATAACTGTAAGTTTACCCTAAAATCTTGTCATGGCACAAATAATGGATCTAGGTATACTAATAAATCATTAAATTTACTTTTTAAATGCAACCATGACCTGTAAGTACCAGGATATGACTTGACATTAGCTTTTTGCTATCCCCCTATACCGCATCAATCAGATTGGGAGTAGAGGGACAGGACTGGGAGCCAATCTGGTGCTCTGCATGCAAGTGTGCTGACAATTAGCATACTGTAAATAGGGAGCAAAGGGGTGATCTCGTCATTCTGCTGCTCTTTTACTGTGCAATTAGCAATCAGGGGGTGGAAAGATAACATCATGATATCCCTTCTACAGTTTATAACTGTAACAGAGACGGTGGTGTCATCCATCTGGCTGTGCTGTGTGGCAGGGTTGTATAATTCACAGGACAGGAAGCTCAGAAATCACAAATACTTTGGCAGGTAATCTTGTGTGTATTTTATCTGTGCATTTAGAGGAGAAAAGTCCTCATTTTCTAGGTGTAGAGCTGGCCATACACTAGTAGATTTCCAAACAAACTTTTGCAAGAAAGTTTTTCTTTACCACCCGATAATGCCATCAGACACTTAACGAATGGCGATCGAAATTTTGTTTCATTTTAACATTCGATTTTGGAATGAATGGAGTTTCCTGAACAAAAACCACGTTCACTGTTAGAATTATGTTAGTTTGAGAAAAAAAATCCATGCTTTTCCTTCCCAGCTTTTTTCATCACTACTGTCGAAAAGACCCCATCAACTAATAGAGAGTCAAATTAAAGATCTTTTGTTCAAAAGTTCTTTCGGAAAAAAGCGGTGTAGGCCAACCATGTTCTTTTTTTTGTAAATGATGGCGTAGTAAGTCATATTTGTGCTAACTTTTTCATACTCTGATTTGTTTTATGGTCCAATGTACATTAGGTATCCAAACCTGTATTTTATGGAAAAGGAAGCAAAGTAAGAAGTACCCCGGGAGATGTCAGTACCGTGTGCAATTGTATTAACAGGAAACACTCACCAATCAAAGACAGTGTAAGTTTATGCTTTGACCATATGATAGCATAACATGATTTTTAAAAATACTTTTTAAATGTATGGTTTTCTCTACCAAAATACATGTACATAACCGCAAAATGCTTTGTTACCAAAAACTGTGACAGATATAAGCCACACTCAGAGGCAGAAAGACATAGGATGTGCTCTGGTGTAGCACTACTGGTAGTACATATCAAATGATTTTCAAATGATATCAAATGATTTTCAAGCCATGCTTTTCCTGATTATTGCAAGTGGCACTCTAATAGATTGTAATACTTGCACTTATCAGGCCCTACATAGGCATCTTCTATACACGTTTTCTGATACAGCAGTTGCCCATACAGCTACAGCTGTATGGGCTTCTATACAGCTTCTCTTTTCAGTTTGTTCATTTAGCTTTGAAAATAAAAGATAGGAGCTGATTGGTTGTCATGTCAAGATTCCATCTACTCCAGTTTGAGTACATTTATATAAAAGAATTATATGAATATACACTTTTGGTTGCCATGGGCAACAACTACAAATTCCATCTACTCCACTTTTGGTAAATTAATGTAAAACAACTAAACAAATTTACACTTTTATGTATTATTGTAGTTAATTTATATGTTAAGTATTTGTGTTATGGTATCAATTCTTTAACTTTCATTAGCAATGTGTAAGTTTCAGTTTTGAAATGTTTTTGTGATCACACCAGTACAGCTTCTGATGCATTTAAAAGCTAGGGGTTAGGTAACACAGAATATCTACACTAATGTTTTCCTAATTGTTTGCCTTATAAACATTGGAAGCGCCTTCTGGTGGCTGAAAATAGGTACATATGAGATATTTGTATGCACAAATTCAGATTTACTAGATAAGGTGACATTTATTTTTAGAGCTGAACATAATAAAGAAAGGAAACATATACACTAGATTCAGTTTTATGATTGACAAACTGGGTGATATTCTTTGCAAAACACCATTAGGTTCTAAATATAACTCTCCACTCAGCATAGAGGGTCACTGTTAAGGACAAGAGCCTCTAGTTGATATAAGCTACAGTTAAAATAGGCCAGGGAATTCAAATCTAGTAAGCAAAGACAGGCAATCATTGTAGACCTGTAGACAAACCTAATAAACCTGCCCTCCATGTGATCATACACCAACATACCTATTGATTCTGGCTCAGACAGTATTTCATTTCAATTCATGCATTTTAGTTCACATAGAATTAGAAAACATAATTATTACAAGAGATTGTTCAACATCCTGGAAAATATTTTCATTTAGCCTCAATGTTGGCACTGGTTGCATCACTGCCCAAAAACGATACTGTAAGTAATGCTTGAAACACATTGCTTGTGCCTCCTATTAACTTCTAAAACTGTAAGTTGATCATATTGATTTTATGCAAATATTTTTTTAAAAATGAATATGTAAATATAAAATATATTCAAAATTGACCGAATAGCATTATAGTTTCCCTTTAAATTGTTTAAAATGTGTATTCTTTTCATTTTACTTTAGAACCAGTGGAGAGAAGCACAGCATTTACCCAACGAATCCACATCTAGTGACAACAAAAACCTTGAATTAATGCAAGAAAACAGGGAGAAGTTTGAAGTTGGTACAAATATGATTGTTCCCAAGACTGTTAAGACTGGCAGCCAGTCAGATGGCAGTGAAATAGACAGGGACAGCCAACTGGAAAGCAGCGGAGATGCAGATAGTGAAGCTTCAGAGTGCGAAAATGTATTACCCCAAACAGAGATCAACAGAGAAAGTGATAATCATGCAAATCATAGAACTGATGGAAATCATTCTTCCATTAATGATTTCTTACACTCCTCACTTGATGCTGTCACAGGGCCTCTGTCGAAACTCAGCCTGAATTCTGTGGAGGAAAATTTGGATTCATGTGAAGGGGGGCCTTGTTCACATCCAAAGTGTATGCTGTCCCAGAATCCTCAGACTGCTTTCCAAACACTCTCCCAGGGCTACGTAACCAGCTCCAAAGAATGCTCTGTGCAGTCCTGTCTCTACCAGTTTACATCTGTAGAGCTCTTGATGGGGAACAACAAACTGCTGTGTGAGAAATGCACTGAAAACAGGATGAAGTATCAAAGGAAAACTCATTCTGCTGGTAATGCTTGTTACACATTATTGAGAAAATATGTGTTTCTTTCTTGTTCATTAACCGGCTTGGTGCCACGGATGTAAGTACTGTCTGTGGCAGCATAGCCCTGTAAACTGATTCCTCACTGCTATAAAAGCTAGGAGCCAGATTACATTTCTTCAGCTGACTCTTGCATTTCTATTAAAAATTATTAGGATGGATTTAATGTAAACCACTCAATCAATTTCACGAGTCCCTAAACATTAGACCCCTGCCCTCGCCATGTATCCTGTGGGTCCAGGACGGTGAGTATAGCGGAGGTATATCAGCTTTCCATTCATCGTGAATGAACCTAAGGGGGTTACAAGCATTTTGCCACTTACAATTTTTGATCTGTCAAGCCAGTGAAGAAGCAGCCAATCAAGCATGATCTCTGCTTTTATAAGCTTCATTGGTGTTCATAAGTATCATTAGGGGTCTAACAGACCCCCAATGTCACCCTATAAAGGACCTGTCACCAGCAATATGCTATCACATAGGACATATCAGTCCCATATGTGATAGCAATAGAGTTAGGGGTAAAACAAAAAGGTTAAACAACATTTTAAGAAAAAAGATTTTTGTGTAGACATGAATCAGGTGCATCTGTGTAAAAAAATGATGATTCTGCAACACATGTTTGGTTTGGCCTTGCATGTCAGAGTAAGAGCAATAATTCTAGGGCCATTATTCACTGTTACCTCTAAATTGATGACCAGTAAAGGCTTTTAAAATGTCAACTATAATACCCATTTTATTGGTCAAATGTAAAAGCTAAGGTTGTGTCGAGTGAATAGATCAAAAGATGAGAAGACACTGGCACTCTAGTGGAGTGAAGGTGTCAACCGTTTGTCACCTTAGCGCCCGCCTGTATTTAAGGGACCAAATGGTTAGGAGTGCGATGGGTTCACAGACTTTGAGAGAATATATATCATACATGTCAAACCTCAAAATTGCGCGTCCACTAAATGGCAAAACCTTTGGTACCCAAAATTGTCTATATTGTGTTTGTGTGCACTAAATTATCAGACTAAAAATGTGTATTTTAATGTGTACAAAAAATGCAGAACCCACTCTGGCATCAAAAGGGTTTAGGGACACGGTAGTTATTCAGAGACAATTGGAGGATTTGGACACTGGCAAACAAAAAAGCTGTTGGCCAGCCAAGTATAACTGCTCTTACTCCCACTATGTTTCAGTTTTTTGCTTTACCAGCCATTTTCTTTCTTAAGAACTCGTTTACGACCCTGCTTTATGACCACTGGCTTTATTGGCATGGCTGATGAAGCTGGGGTCTTAAAAGATAGGAGTCTCTCTGATTCGGTAATTCCCTTGCTGGTAAAAGCTAGGAAGTCTACCTCCTGCAAGGTCTACCATTGCACATGGAAGGCTTACTTCGCCTGATGCTAAGGAAGAAGACTTCACCTCTGGAAATACTTCATGGGAAGAATTTTAACCTTTCCAGAATCAGGCCTGGATTAGCATTTGGCCTCAAGTACTAAGGGGTAAATCTCAGCCCAGGAGATCTTATACAAAGACGCAATGTATTGTGCCTGCTTTTGTTAAGCTTTGTGTTACTGTATATTAGAAACTGAAATTTAGATATGGTTTCGGCACTGCATATGTTGTCCGAGCTCTTCACTATAGAATATTTGTTTTATTAACTTGTGCTTCATTTTTAAATGATAAACTAAGATTTGTTCTGTTATTATTTACTGCTTGTTTTATCACTCTTTCCATTTAAGGTGATACAACTCAGAACTTAAAAATACATTCCAGTACCTTAACTATTAACAATACTGTACCGTATTTGTGTATCACTCGGCTGTAGATCCTCAAATCATCTCTGAATTGGTGCTGACACTGTCCTTCCTTCTGGAGGGTGGTTACTTTTGTTCCCAATGGTCCCTGTGTGTGTTGTAAGGTAGCCACCGCTCCAAGCTCGTTCCTGTGATAGACTACAATCTCACGTTTAGTTTGTATTAAGATTGTAGTTCATCACTTGAGCGAGCTTGGAGTGGTGGCTACTTTACAACACACACAGGGACCATGGGGAACAAAAGTAACCACCCTCCAAATGAAGGACAGTGTCAGCATGAATTCCTGGATGATTTGAGGACATACAACTGAGTGATACACAAATAAAATACATTTTTGTTAATAGTTAAGGTACTTGAAAGCATTTTTAAAATGTATCTCCTGAGTGAAGTGTCACTTTAGCCCTCATTCACACTGAGTGTTTTGTAGCACTTTGCCTGGCCCAAAAAAAAGCTCCCAAAAAACCCCCATTGATTTCTATGGCCATGTTCACATCTGAATGTCTTGTCTCTTGAAGCAAAACGCTAGTTGCTAGAAGAAATTGCATGAGCTTCTGTTTGGCAGATTCTGCGCTTCTTGGCCCCATAAACTTCAATGTAAATGCTCAGAAACATGTGCTGCATTTTGCACATATTTACGCACGTTTCACGCATGTTTGGCCATTCACATTAATGTGTCAAGATCTGCTAGCAAAAACACGCTACACAAAAACGCGCTGAAAACGTGCAAATTTCACTTCGCTCAGGTGTAAATGCAGGCTTAGTGGCTGGTACGTGCTGCACTAGACATACATAGCTAACATTTAAACAATACAATTACAGCAGTGCCACCCAAAGGCTGTTTTTAGGTACTACGGTACCAATTACATTTTAGTTACAAAATTTTCTCCTCATCACCTCACAGAGTTCTTAGTTGTAGCCAAGGGCCATAGAGAACAAATCATTATGTTGCACCAATTTATCTCAGTACATATATATTTGTTGGTACTTATACCTTGTTGACCTTTCCTTATGAATTTTTATTTGTAAGTTGTTTATGGCTTCAAGATTCTCATATACAGTGACCCAAAACAACTGTGCAGAGCAAGAGTTCTGGCTCCCCTTACCAGATCTAGGTTAGTGATTCAGAATATTGATGTTAGAGACAGCCAGGCAGGTAACATTTTGTTGTTTATCAGCAATAAAACCTCAATATTTGTCTGATTCCATAAGACGTGACTATGCTGGGTACATTTTTTTCATTGAATAAGTACTGTATATTAGCTATTTTCTTACAGATTGTGCATCTATATTTTGGATACTATAGCTTGTTATTTTAGTAAAACGTAAAATTCACTGTGCATTTGTAAGCTCGTATAGGCCATGTACTTTCGTTGCATTGACTTTTTTTTAACTGCCCTTGAAATAATTATAAACTTTTTTACTCCTAGAGGAGAAACAAGATACTGTGTATACAAATGCTAGAAAACAGCTTTTGATTTCTGCATTACCAGCCATTCTCATTCTGCACCTAAAAAGATTCTGCCAGGTAAGTTATATTGCCTTAGTGTAAGTATAAACGTGTTATCCTAACCAGGGGCGGATCCAGGCTCTAGTCTCGGGAGGGGCACTGCCAGAAAATAAGCCCCCCCCCCCCCCTGGATCTGCCACTGATTCTAACATCTGTTGTGTAAAGCCCCAATTAGGGAAAGTTCAAACCCCTATCAGGTTTTGTTTTTTTCTGTCTTGTGGAGATTCCACTTCACTTCAGTTGTCACCAAACTATTTCTGCCTAGTGGATGGTTTACCCTCCCTTCTTGTTTTAGAGAAAACTCATTTTGGATTTCTTGTAGTGTTCTGTCTCAGTAGAAATGGTCATCAGGACAAACAGAGGGGTCCGAATCAGGTAGTTCCTAATAGCACCACTTTTACAAAGTGGCCATATGACTGCACTAAATAAAAGGAAAATATTCTCCAGTTAATAATTAACAAAACTGGAGGCAATTAAGACTAAGTCTAAACTTGCATACAGAGGTAGGCAAAGTGCCAGTGAGGCTGGATGGAGCCTGTTCGGGATGTCGAAGGACTAGTTCCCCATTAGGTCCGCCCTGTCTGCCAACAGGCAGTGGGTGAATTCCATGGCTAATAGCAGTCTTTCTACTCCAGCCTCAGTGCGCCTCCACACTGCAAATGGCCAGTGCAGTGTCGTGCATATGCACTACAGCATTCTGTTGTATAAATTCCAGGGATGGTTCTTGTTCCTTCATTTCATCCACGGCAATATGTAAAAGTTGAATATTTCCAGTTGCAAACAGTGGATTCAAGAACCCATCAATGCATGAAGAAACAAGAAATGTAAGATGTTATTGATTTGAACTTCCGGTAATATTTTGATCGATAACCAGACTATTTCTGTTTTTTCAATGATGTAAAAAATACTTCCAAAAACATTAAGTACTTTGCAAGAAAAACATTTTCCTAAAGTCAAGGATAATTTTATTGTGCTTGTGACAATAATTTATATAGGTAGGAGTATTTATTCAGCTAGCCGCCATCTAAGAATGGTGCTGATGTAACTATTTAAAAGAATATGTGGTTAAAGCGAGTTGATTATCTCCAATAGGATTAGGTACCATAGCCTTCATAGGGAAATTAGCTCCATTCAATATAATCGATCTGATGACATTTTTTACATATATATATAAAGGGTTTCCCCAAATAAAAATAATACAATAGAGACATAACAAGAGGGGCGTTCCACAAAATATCTAATGATCCTTATAACATTAGAATCAACTTGATGGAAAAGACATGTGGAAGAGCCCATCCCACCTTGGAAAGCCCAGACGGGAACTACTCGTATCAAATGTATGCGACCCATAGGTCCACACACTATCATGGTAATAATCCAATATGAAATATGAAAAACATACTGGGCATAGATACTGGGCATACTGTGTACACTCCGGATCTTGATGGATCAAATTTACATTGAAATATGTAGTTAAGGATAGGTGTGCATGTGTACATATCCATGTCCCTCCTTGTTAGGTACACCAAATGGGTACATAGGCAGAGATAATCTCCCTGGGTTGGTATATAATCAAAATGATAAAGTGCCCATTGTAAAAATTCAGGCCATTATTCGACCATCAAAACCCGGAGTTACCAGAGATTTGTCGCAAATTTTCAAATAGCTTTCCAATGTTTAAATATACCTTTTCACAATGCCTTAACCTAATGGGATAAAAAAGTTAGGATAAAGAAACGCTATGTTTGGATGTCACTAGGTTTCAAGATAGCAGCTGAAGTTAATCATGTCATTGAGTCCAGGGGGTTCGTGAGAGGCTGTTTGATGAATCCATCTACATTCCCTCTGTAAAAGAGATTTGTCCCAATCCCCTCCACGTCTAGGCTGGTGCACCCTGTCCAGTGCGAAGAAACGAAAACCGTTGATATGTCCGTTATGTATGTTGACAAAGTGTCTAACTATCGGGGACCGCAGGTCCCTGGCCGCTATATCGGCCAGGTGATCTGAGATTCTATTTTTAAACATTCGTCTCGTTTTGCCCACATAAAACATATCACATGCGCACAGCATTAGATAGATGACACCCTTTGTTTCACAGTTTACAAAGTGGTGGGCTTTAAAGCACTTCCCCAGGGGGGTAGTGACTTCTGTTCCAATATGGACATAGCGACAGAATTTGCACCTCTGACACTGGAAGGTGCCAGGATATTTACAGCAGGGGCCATTCCTAGTGAAAAAGTCACTGTTCGTCAGTTTGTCTTTAAGGGAGGGACATCGTCGGTAAGTGATGGTAGGTCTAGTGCTTACGAACTTCGAAATTCTGGAGTCCCTAGTTAGACAGTGCCAATGTTTTTGAAAAATCCTTGATATTTCTTTGTGCTGGTTATTAAAAGTCAAAATTGGTCTTACAAGGGAATCCTCTTTATCAACTTTTTGTAATTTAGTTTTATTCTTATTAGCGGGTATTTTGGGTCCACCCTTTACTCGTTGATATGCCTTTTTAAGTATCTTATTTGGGTAGCCCCTGGCTCGTAGCCTAATCCTTAAATTTTGAGCCTAATTTACCCAAAACTAAATCTGATGTAACACTTCTTTTTTTTAAAGTGATTTATTAGAGATTTTGTATCTAATATATTGTCAGTCTAGACCACAACGCTGAACAAAAAGGACAGTTTTATTGTGCTAGATCGAGGCTTTTTAAAAAAAAAAAGTTTACATGCATTTCCTTGTGCGTTTTTGAGGATAGCTGCATATCCATCTGTACTTTTTATAAGCAGCATTTTTACAATCACTAGTCACAAAGGAACTTACCGGAAGCGCAAACTGTTAAGTATGATTGTCTGTTGTTAAAATAATGGTGCCTCTAGCTTAAAATGAAACAAACCAACATAATTACCTTCTAGCAGAAGATATGTTTTAAGATGGTGATAATGGCTTTAATACAAAGGTGTAGTTTTAAACTATCATATTTCATCTATTTACGTTGCATTATATAATTATCCCAAAATATAGAGTTTTGAATCGATAAGCAAAAACCCTAATTTCCTCCCTGTCCAGGATCCTGTATGTAAAGTTCCTATAGCTGTTTTTTTGTCCAGGTTTAAGTGTAAAAAGATAACATTTTCCCTTACGATGGCCTTGACACGAAAATCATTCACGTTTATTTTTATTTCAGAATGGGCTGACGCTGCGCAAAATCAATAGGCACGTGAACTTTTCTTTCATTTTAGACCTGGCCCCTTTTTGTGCTGCAAATTGCAAGGTATAGTAAAATAGAGAAGTGATTCAGGCAAGGCTCACATTCAATGTGTGTTTATAGCTCTAAGTTAAGGCATTTCATTCATATCATTAAAACACAGAGCTTGGTTAAAGGAGAACTATGAGGTGAGTGAAAATCACTCACCTCATAGTTCTAGCCGACCTGTGACAATGAAACTGTCACAAGTCGGCTCAATAGATCGGGAAGTGAGTGAACACATACCGTCGCTCACTCACTTCTCGATCCTGTCCCTGCAGAGAGCCGTGACTATCAATCACGGCTCACTGCAGGGATTCCCCCACTCTCCCCTGTCCGATCCTACAGCGCTGACTGGCGGAACGGACGGGGGAGGGGGCGGGTACAGCTGGCTCTGCCTCTAGATAGGCTGAGCCAGCTGTCACTCACGCAGCTGGGTGGATCCAGACAGTAATATCGGGATCCGTCCCGGCTGCGGCGTCTCAGTATACCGCGAGCTGTAGCTCGCGGTATACTGAGTTTTGGGTGAGCCCTGACCCCATAGTTCTCCTTTGAACAGGAAAATCTGATATCTGATATGTCATTCTATTACAACAATGCATAGTCTACAAAAAGACATAGATAAAGCACCTGATCTGGCTGTGTTTAATTGGATCTGGTGAATGACGTGAAGCATTTCAGCCGACTGCGCTCAGACCAAGAAATGAACAGTAATACTGTGTATCCTTTTCTGAACACTACTGTTCCCATAAAAAAACCTTCCTCCCTGATCAGCATCATCCTTACTGCACTGAAATAAATTTGGATGCACCGATACTGGTTTTTCGGAATCGAATACGGGTACTGATATTTTTCGATACTCGCCGATACCGGATACCAATACTGGAAGTCCCATTAAGGAAGCCAGGCGGCGTGTAATGACTCGTCACCTTGCTTCCTGAATAGCCGGGAAGCCGGGTGGCATGTAAAGACTCGCCACCCGGCTTCCCGATTAGCACCAGGTGATGAGGGAGCATGGAGCCGGTTTTCTGGCCAATCAGAAAGCCGGGCAAAGAGTCATTACGCAGCGCCCAGCTTCCTGTTTGGCCGGAAAGCCGACTCCATGCTCCATCGTCATCAAGTGATGAGGGTGCATGAAGCCGGCTTTCTGGCCAATCAGAAAGCCGGGGGGCGTGTAATGACATGCTGCTCAGCTTCCTGATTGGCCATGGAGCTGGCTTCCCGGCCAATCAGGAAGCCGGGCAGCATGTAATAACTTGCTGCCCAGCTTCCTGATACCAGAAGCTCAAGTATCGGGCTAGGCAATGGAGCATTTGGGGGAGTACGTGTACTCGCCCAAATATTCGGCATTGGCACCGATACTAGTATCGGTGCATCCCTAATGTTTAATAAGCACACGTTGCACATAGCTTGCACGAAGGGTAGTGAGGTTGTGTAGAACTAGCTTTTATGAAGGGTAGTGAGTTTGTGTAGGACTAGCTGGTATGAAGTGTAGTGAGATCGTGTAGGACTACCTTGCATGGAGGGTAGTGAGGTTGTGTAGGACAAGCTTGCATGAAGGGTAGTGAGGTTGTGTAGGTCTAGCTTGCATGGAGGGTAGTGAGGTTGTGTAGGACTAGCTTGTATGAAGGGTAGTGAGGTTGTGTAGGACTAGCTTGTATGAAGGGTAGTGAGGTTGTGTAGGACTAGCTTGTATGAAGGGTAGTGAGATTGTGTAGGACTAGCTTGTATGAAGGGTAGTGAGGTTGTGTAAGACTAGCTTGTATGAAGGGTAGTGAGGTTGTGTAGGACTAGCTTGTATGAAGGGTAGTGAGGTTGTGTAAGACTAGCTTGTATGAAGGGTAGTGAGGTTGTGTAGGACTAGCTTGCATGAAGGGTAGTGAGGTTGTGTAGGACTAGCTTGTATGAAGGGTAGTGAGGTTGTGTAGGACTAGCTTGTATGAAGGGTAGTGAGGTTGTGTAGGACTAGCTTGTATGAAGGGTAGTGAGGTTGTGTAGGAGTAGCTTGCATTAAGGGTAGTGAGGTTGTATTGGTCTAGCTTGTATGAAGGGTAGTGAGGTTGTGTAAGAGTAGCTTGCATGAAGGGTAGTGAGGTTGTGTAGGAGTAGCTTGCATTAAGGGTAGTGAGGTTGTATAGGTCTAGCTTGTATGAAGGGTAGTGAGGTTGTGTAGGACTAGCTTGCACAAAGGGTAGTGAGTTTGTGTAGGACTAGCTTGTATGAAGGGTAGTGAGGTTGTGTACCACTAGCTTGTATGAAGGGTAGTGAGGTTGTGTAGGACTAGCTTGCACAAAGGGTAGTGAGTTTGTGTAGGACTAGCTTGTATGAAGGGTAGTGAGGTTGTGTAGGTCTAGCTTGCATGAAGGGTAGTAAGGTTGTGTAGGTCTAGCTTGCATGAAGAGTAGTAAGGTTGTGTAGGACTAGCTTGTATGGAGAGTAGTGAGGTTGTGTAGGACTAGCTTGTATGGAGAGTAGTGAGGTTGTGTAGGACTAGCTTGCATGGAGGGTAGTGAGATTGTGTAGGACTACCATCTATTGTGTATGGTTGGCATTAGTAGTTCAATATTTTGTCATCCCGATTGCAATATTGCACAACCAAGGGTTTCTAAGGTATTAATTGAAGGCTAAAGGTATGGGGAAAAAATACACAATTAGGCATTTGTTATCTAGTGTGCACTAAAGATACCCATATAACAGGGGTAGGCAAACTTTGGCCCCCCAGCTATGGTGAAACTGCAAATCCCATCATGCAAATACAAATCCCATAATGCATCTGCCTTTGGAAGTCATGCTTGGCTGTCAGAATCTGGCAATGCCTGATGAGATGTGTAGTTTAACCACAGCTGGAGGGCCAATGTTTGGCTACCCCTGCCCTATAATAAGCCAGATTGTGCCTGGCTGGTGGTCTAGTATTGTATAGAGAGGAAGCAGCTGCCCTGTATTAGCACCAATCTCCTTTTTTAACATTGACTGTTAGAATTAGCCATGTTATAAGTCACCACAGTATTTATTTTGTTAGTTTTTTTTGTTATGTTTTAAAAGAAATGCAGTTGTTTTGTGCAGCAGATTAAGCAGTTAGGTGTAATAATTCATGTAAAATATACTCTTATATTGATGAATTTCATTTCTGTTTAAACATGTGAAGAATGTGGTAGAAGAGAAGAGTGTCCTGTACAGTCTTTATGGAATAGTGGAGCACAGTGGATCAATGAAAGGAGGACACTACGTAGCATACATCAAGATCCGAATGCCTTCTAAAGGACCAGGTGAAAATATCTCTGTTATTATTAAGCTTTTACCTGTTCAGTATTATCTGTGTAAGCGTACTGCCTAATCTACGAGAATGCTACGTATTTGTTGTGTTTATAGCTTTCCTTCCTGCATTCACAATTTCTGCTTTGGTTCTGAATACATTCTATGGTTCTCCAAACTGTAATTGACTTTTGAAAAAAATAACTTGCACAGACTAAAAATGCAAAATAAATTAAATACAGTGGTACGGTTCGCGAACAGGAAGTTCAGCAAAATTTTGCTTCTGTTCGTAAACTCCGCTTCGAGTGACAAACATCCGCAGCCATTTTCCCTGCTCTGACACATGGTCATGGCTTCCTCTAGTCGAGATCACGGTCTGATCACAGTTTGATTCGTTTCACGACCAAATCGCTTCGCAACCAGAATCGCGGAACGAATTAAGTTTGTGAACCGAGGTACCTCTGTATATACTAATAGTAATTAGCTGACCTCTCTGGCAAGAGCTGAATACCCTACAACAGCTCATCTCTAACTGAAGGTCGGATTGGCCTTGTAGAACATCCCTCCCTGAGATCTCCTTGATCATAAAGATGTGCTTGGAAGGCAGGGGGTGTGAAGCTCTTCTTAAAGCGGACCTTTACACTCAAAAATCTAATTCTACCAATGCATCCCTCTATGTATGGTGATTAATAATAACATAGACATGTCAGGTGTAAAATGCTGTGATTTTGAAATTCTTACACTTGCAGAGCATTCACTTCCTGCTCTGAAAGTGCAAATGACTTCAGTTTGCCAAAGCAATGCACACTGGGATTGCCTTGTCATCAGCAGAGCATTGCTGGGAAATCTCATCTGTAATCTCACGAGATCTCAGGTAAAGGCATTTTCCTCCCCTGAGATGACGTGCATGGTCACATGTCTAGTCACATGTGCCAGAAATGCAGGAAGAGCTAGTAATCTGGCCTTAGTAAACATGGCCACTGTCAGAAGACTGGGGAAGAAAAGAGAAATAAGATATGCAAATAATACAAAGGCGGCAATTATGTAGAAGTGTGTGTTTGTAGATTGTCATTACTAAACATTTCTAAAGGTGTGTTTGTTGTTATTTTAAAGATATGGGTAAAGGTCCACTTTAAGACGGATAAAACAATTTACGCCATGTATCAAGTTTTCCAAAGCAAATACACCAGACATAGATGCTTTGCAATATGTAGTATCGGCTGTTTTAGCCACAAACTGTCCCTTCTGCCACTACTCACTGCCTTTCACCCAAATTGCTTGAAATCTTTAATGCAGCTTTTCAAGCTAGTGAGCTGCTTCTCTTTATGAAAAGAGCACTCATAGTCTAGACCTTAAAACATAAGGATCTTCTTTATTGTGAATACACCCGTATCTCTCATTGATATGGATGCCAAGATTTTGGCCAAAATGTTCACTGATTGATTGAATAATGTTATAAAAGGGTAATACTAAGAAATAAAAATACACTATGCATTAGAGCTGCAACAATTAATCGACTAAGTCGATTATAATCGATTATGAAAAACGTTGTCAACATTTTCCATCGTCGATTAGTTGAATTTAGATTAGTTGGCCTGCTTGTGGCTTGCCGCACACTACTTCTCCCCGCCTTGCCGCCCGACACGTCTCCTCCCTGCCTCACGGACTTGCTGCATGCCGCTTCTCCTCCCCGCCTCACAGACTCGTCGCTGCCCGCCCATCCACGATCGGCACAATTAAGAAGGAAGAACAGGCATGGGGGGAAGGCAGATGCCAGACAGGCCCACAATCTCAGGGAGACTGCTCAGGTAAGCATGTACTCCCCCAACATGGTGCTGTATTAATGTATTGCCTGGATTTGTAGTCCTCTATAGCTGATGGTACATTGTGCTGTATAATATACAGCACAATGTATCATCAGCTATAGAGGACTACAAATCCCCACAATACATTATACACTGTATGTATAATGTACTATTGCTGGCATTTGTTGTATTCCTATATAGCTGGTGGTATTCTGCATTGCGCCATATAATCATTATACAGCGCAATGCAGAATACCACCAGCTTTAGAGGACTACAAATCCCAGCAATAATAAATTATACAGCGCAATGGAGAATAACACCAGCTATAGAGGAATACATCAGACCCCAGCAATAATACATTATATACAGCGCGATGCAGAATAACACCAGCTACAGAGGACTACAAATCTCAGCAATAGTACATTATAGTATAATGTGCTATTGCTGGGATTTATTGTATTCCTCTATAGCTGGTGGTATTCTGCATTGCGTCGTATAATGATTATACAGCGCACTGCAAGATTTTAGCTATAGAGGACTACAACTCCCAGCAATAATAAATTATACAGCGAATGTAGAATAACGCCAGCTTCAGAGGACTACAAATCCCAGCAATTGTACATTATAGTATAATGTACTATTGTTGGGATTTGTTGTATTCCTCTATAGCTGCTGGTATTCTGCATTGCGCCGCTGTATAATGTATTATATTGCACACCACACTTTTTTTTTACTTCCACCGCTCCAAGCTTGCTCCCGTGATGGACTACAATCTCAATACAAACTAGTAGTCCATGACTGGAGCCATTTTTTTTATTCGATTAACTGATTAATCGGACGTAATAATCGGCTAACTAATTGATTTTGAAAATAATCGTTAGCTGCAGCCCTACTATGCATAGAGATGGAGCTGTCAGCACAGTGCATATCAGTTGATGATTATCTGCTTTCAAGTAACACAAAGTTCTCAATGAAGGCACTCTGATTAACAAAGTGCAGATGTAGTGACAGCACCATCTACAACAGTGGTTCTCAACCTTTCTAGGGCCGGGACCCCTTGGTAACATTTGCCAAGTTGTGGTGACCCCCAACGGTAAAATTTAGGGATGACGCGGCTGCCGACATCTGGCGGTGTGGTGGGAGAACTGACACTGCTGCACTAGGGGCTGAGGAGGACTCTCACCTAGCACAGCAGAAATCACACAGCGACCCACACAGGTTGAGAACCGCTGTTGTAACAGCTAAAATGGCAAACCATATAACACAAGCTGAGGGTGTCAGCTTTTATTAATAATAATAATGTAATAATCACTAGATGGGGACCTGATGGAGAACTACAGGTCCCCCTCTGCTGATTGACAGCAGGAGTGGGCGGGTGCAATAGCTAGTTTGCTATTGCAAAGTGAAATAGCCAATAGGAATGTAGCTATGCATTCCAATGCTGATTTATTTATTTTTTTCTGACTGCCGGCGGCCGGGGCTCCGATGTCAGAAATAAAAAACGATCGCAGCGAAAGGTTTACTCTGCTCGATCGAGCAGATTAAACCTTTCCGGGAGAAAGTGTTTCTCTCTCGGGCGGCCGGGAGCCGCTATCTAATAGCAGGAGACTCCCGGCGACCCCTGGCAAATTGTAATTCGACCCCCGAAGGGGTCCCGACCCACAGGTTGAGAACCGCTGATCTACAAGAACCATTGCTATATACTGTATGTACTGGTAACAATTGTTAGGCCAATGATGTTTTAATGCTTACTTCTTTGTTTGCTTTACAGTACTGCAGGATGGAGTATCATCTTGTTCCAGCCAGTGGGTGTATATTAGTGATACAAACGTACACATGGTGGCTGAATCCAGGGTGCTAGCTGCTCAAGCGTATCTTTTATTTTACGAGAGACTGTAGTTGAAGTTCATTTTTCACTCATGGATTTTTGCCAGGATGTGGTAAAAGAGAAATCTTGGGAAATGTGACATGGAGTTTTTCTTTCTTCTTCAAGATCTATATCAACGTATTATGCCATTTTAGACCAAATTGAAATATCATTGATCAATGAATCCCATAGTAATAAAAAATAATCTGAAAGAATGTGGCTGGAAATACTGCTAGAGCTACCGTGTTTCTGCTTTCAGGTTCTAACCACTCAAACAGCAGCTCACTCCTGCTCGTATCACCCTCCTCTTGGCCAGCTTACTCCCACTCATATCATTCTATTTCTGGCCAGCTTACTCCTGTTCATATGATCCCATCCCCAGCCAGCTCACTCCCACTCATGTTAACCCTCCCAGCCACGATTCTCTGCTTAATGCGCCCCCTGCTTGGCCAATGCACCCTTGCTCATGCCGCCACCATTTTTGGTATCGGGGCATTTTCACGAGTACCTGATACTGGTATCTGTGCATCCCTAATAATAACATATCATACATTCAAAAGCGGCCAGTAATTTGGTTTATTTTACAGGTTCTGAATTTTTAAGTATTAAAACGAGACATGATCCCAAACTATGAAATGAGTAAATATATCGACATGGTTCATATTGTAGAAAAATATCAAGTGATCTGATAACTGGTGGAATAATATTCAAGCAGCAGCAGGTGGAAGAAGCACAGGTCCAGAGAATGGATGAAGTAAATGCAGGAGGATGCATGAGCTGCAGGTCTTTAAATACAGCTTCCTATCCAGCAAGGAGAACAGTGAGCAGCATGAGAACTCACTATAAATCACCTAAGATTACAGCTGCATTGTCTTTGATGATCTCACACTGCAGATATACTGTATAGTGATAATGCTTTATGCATATGAAATACAGTGTTTTCTTTTAGGCAGAGTTCAAGGCAAAATATACATTTTCAGGGTTCTGCTTAGGCATAATTTACATTTCTAGATGTTTTCTAGAAAGCAAATCCTAACTTTTTCAGGTTAAATCAACTTTATACTGTACTGCACAGGCTGTTTTATGCTATTACTTTTGTTTACGTGTCCAGTCCAAATCGGAGTTCAATATGCTTTTGAAACACCATTCGCTAATGTATCCTGCAATGTACTTCTGTATATATTTTGTATGTTTCACTAAGCTTTTTGTACCTTATACATGTCAACAATATATTGATGAATTACATGTATGGTATCCTTATAGGTAGTGTTTTATTAGCTAGAATTAATTCAAACAGCCAGTGTCTTAATTGAGTTGTGATATTTGGTTACTTGTAATGGTGCCGTTTACTTTTGAGATGTACAGGTCCCTTTTATTCATTTGGAACCACATGTTTTTAAATAAAAAGGAATTCTATTTTAATTTTTTATATAGTGGTGCCAAAGTACCCAACAGAGGCAATGATTTTAACAACACCCCCTTACCCCGCACAGCACTTTCCCACAACCAGCACCACTCACAATCCCCATCTCACCACAGCACCTATTACAAACCGTTACCCTGCACTCACTACAACAACGGTCTACCAAAATGATCTACCCCACAGCCTCCCCCCATCACCACAGCACCTGTTCCAACC